TTCCAGTACCTGAAAGGTGCTTACAGTGAGAGTGGGGTAGGTCTCTTCTCACTGGTGACAGGTGACAAGACAAGGGGAAATGTCCTCAAGTTGCGCCAAGGTAAGTTTAGGTTGGACATTAGGAAACACTTCTTTACAGAAAGGGTGGTTAAACATTGGAATAGGCTCCCCAGGGAGGTGGTTGAGTCACCAACCCTGGATGTGTTTAAGAGCCGTTTGGATGTGGTGCTTGGAGATATGATTTAGCAGAGGGTTGTTAAAGTTAGGTAGTATGGTTAGGCTGTGGTTGGACTTGATAATCCTTGAGGTCCCTTCCAACCTGAGCAATTTTGATTCTATCTCCAGTAACATATATGCACACGGCACAGGAAACAAACACAGGCTAGAAATTCATGTTCAAATACAGAGCTATGACCTTGCTGGGATCACATGGGAGACATGACAAGATACCTCACATGCCCGGAGTGCAGCCACAAATCTCTGAAGGTGAGGAAGTAGGGTTCTGCTCTATGTAAAGTTCAAATGCATTGTGCATAGCCTTGTTATTGGTGATGGGCAAGTTGTGAGCTATGAGTAAGAATCAGAGGACAGAGAAGTATAGGTAACGCTATTTTGGGCATCTTCTACAGACCATCTGATAAATAAGAGGAAATAGATGAAGCCTTTTTCAGACAACTATAAGAAGCCACATGATTTGTGCAATGCGTTGACTTCAAAAGAGATTTTTATCAGAGACATAGAGGCTGATACTGGGACAAGATAATCCCTTGCCAGTTCTTTTCAAAGATCTCCAGTATTGTTTTTGTGTGCATGTGTGTGTTTGTGTGTTTTGTTGGTTGATTTTGTTGTGAAATCTCCAGTTATTCTCTTGATTTCTGCTCAGAGATCTCAGAGCACTCAGAGATATATGGAGATCTAAGTTGTGCCCACAGATTACATAAACAGAGCAAACAAACATTGCAAGAGTAAGCAGAAATGTATAATTACTTTCCTGCAGTCCCACAGCACGCTAGTATCAAAATCAGAGAGAGAATTTAGATTTCTCCTTGTAAGTCCTGTGCCGAGCTTCCTAGATCATGTTGCCTTCTTCCATTTTCACACAAAGTACAGAACAATCTGACTGACAGGCAGGCTCCACTCCAAGAAAACAGACACATGAAGAAAGACAAACTCTTCTGCCTACATTATGAATTGAATAGGCACAAGAAGTCTCTGGCTCAAACCATAAAGCCTTGGTTATCAAAAGCCCTCTATCTGAGCTAATAACCTAAGCTTACAAGAAGAAATCGCCAGCTTGCCAACACCACAGTAATCTTGCTGAAGAAATGAACTATCTTGCATCTGCCCCACTTGGAACAATAGCAGAGTGATCTATAACTACTAATAGAGACATAGATATCTGAAAAACACTGCACTTCTGCATTGCAATGAGGATTTGTAAAGCCCAGGGCCCAGTAAATCTGTCATACTCTCCAGCTATTTTATTTATCTCGCTGCATGCAGTCTAAAACATGGTTAACTGGGCATTTCCTATATAGCTACAGTAAAGGAATGATTTTTCTTCCCCATATTTATTCAAGTAAAAACTCTACAAGAGTTAATTAGGCTTCCACAAATGCTTGCTATATTTTGAATTATTAAAATTTTGTCAGATGGAATATTGTTTCCAGTTTGAATACTACCTTTGCTTAATGCACATCTAAAATAAGTATAAGAACTAAAAACAAATTAATGAATATGTAAAGAAATGCAAGTCATTAGCAAATTCTTATATCTCAGAAATTACATATGCAAGAATAACAATACTAAATGAAATAGTTGCAGGTTGGAGGACTCCAAGTAAGAGGTACCAATAGAAAACAGAGTTTACTGAAACACCTTCCAACACCTTGGATACTTGCAAGCTTCTTCTGTCATCAACAACTACTTCCATTTGTCATACAGTGCAATCTATTTTTTTTTTCCTCCAAAAGCTTCAAAACAAGAAAGGAAATTGCAGATATATCTCTGGACTAATGGACAAATACAAGTCTACATTTACTCAAATGTTCAGCAGATGAATCTAACTTTGTCTCTAACAAACATATCTGCTAGCATTTATCTTTCGTATGTGTTTGCAATGACACATTTATTAAAACAATATAGAGTCTATACAGAGAAAACTCTGGCTCTCATCATGCTCTAGAGACTACCAGATTAAAAATGCTGCTTCTGCTTCCAACATTTTAAAAAGTCTTTTAAACATTTTCTGCTATCTCACATTTTTCATCATAAGAGAAAAAAATTCCCATGGCAATTATAAATAAATAAATTTTAAGAAGAAAGAGAGATTTTACCAGCCAGTGCATAAAATTAGGTGTTTTCCCACCACGCTTGATAATAAAAAAAACACAGAATTCAGTTATGCATACTCTAAGCACTGCCATAGTGCTGTAAAATAAAGAAAGTTCATTGACTTTGGAGATTAAGTCTGTCATTAATTCAAAGCTCAATTAATTGAAGAATCCAGACAAAAGGTCTTGACTCTTCATTCCTATTTATGTTAAGCAGAAATTACTTAAGCAGGAAGTTCCATTGGTTGTAATGGGTGAACTGACATGAGAAAGGGTTGTAAAACCACAAAACCAGAGGAAACAACTCAAATAAATAGAAGATTAACATTGTAGCTATCTGACAATTATATTTAAAACATGTGAAACCTCCATTCAATAATGAATAAGTATTTTTCACAGAAAAATTCTAATTCACTTTAGATTGCTTTGGGTTTTTTCATGGTTGTTTCAAGTTAACAATTTCATAGTTTCTTCATGGATTCTAAATTTCAAATTTGTAAGCATCAATATCCTTCACCAGCATTGTTTCATTGGTTTCCCAAGTCATGGCACGCTTGCAAAGTGCATGACAAAATTGGCTTTGCTTCAAACTTGCTTTTCTTCAACTGTTATCACTGCAACCACCTTCCTGCATTCGCTATCCTATGCTAGAAGTCCTAGACAGAGAAATAGCCTTCTCCTACTAACTGAGACACAACAATCTCTGTGAAATGCAAAAATGAAAACTCCTGCCTAATTATGCTAAAACACATAATGAATGGTGATGGCCATTCTCTCCAGCTCCATATAAGGATGCATTTCTGACCCTTTATCCACTCCATCTCTACTCTGATACGTAGAATCATAATGCATTTTTTCCATTCTGGCTCAGTGCTCCCATTCTTTGTCAAAAGAAATCATTCATGTGTTTCAGCTTCAGGAAAACAGCATCATGCAGAAGAGCTGCTGGCTCAAATACAATTTTTTTTTTTCTGTCTTCCTAGTGTATCAAATATCTTTCCACTGATATCGGTAACAACAATAGAAAGAGGGTAACACCTAAGCTATTGAAAGAAGAGGAATATGAGTGATCCTGCCTGTGACAGAGGGGTTGGAACCTGATGATCCTTGAGGTTCCTTCCAAGTCATTCTACAATTCGATGATTCTATGAGAACAGCAGAACCACAGTTCCACCTAGTGGGCTGTGCAGAAGAGCCAGGGTAAGGAGAAAGAAACCACTGGTGGCAAGAAGCCTATTTATCGGGTTAATTTCCTACAGGTACAAAGCTCCCCCAAAAAGCAAAATATTAAACTGCCACTACACTTTGCTGTAATCCAGACTTCTTATGGTTATAAGAAAAAGCAAGGCAAAAGAAAATAAAAGAAAACAAAAAGAAAATACCTTTGTTATAATCAATTAGGGTAGGAGATAAGCATAGGAAACTACAAAAAAGTAGATTTTGAGACAAGAAAAACTGAAAACTTGGAGTAAAGTCAAGCTTAACAAAAAGTTGTAAGCATAATTACAGGAAGATCATGCTCTCATAAAGAAGATGGTCTCAGAAATTTAGTGGTATTTGAAGGCAGGGGCCAAAGTGAAAACAGAAAATCTCAGTCATAAGAAAAGGAAGCCAAAAAGGCTCAGATGTCACTGTGCCCTTTAAAAATCTACAGTTATCTAGAAAAGCAGCAGAAGGTGGTGAAAACAGACCTATTTATGCTCTACTAACATGTTTGAAATTTAGTTCCTATAAAGAAAACATATGAATATTTTTAATGCTACCTCGCTTAGAGTAAGCATTTGCAACTCTTAAAAATACTTAACTGATGGAAAATACAGTTGGCTGGAATATCTTCCAAACTGGCTGGAATATCTTCCAAACCTTAGATGCTTGCAAGAATACAACTGAAATTCTCCTGGCTTTTTAAAAACTGAAATACATCCCTTCCGTTTAATACAAGAAGAAAGTAGACATTGGCATTTCTGCTAGGGAATATTACTGAATGTGAAAATCATTGTCATGCATTGAATTTTAAACACTGAACATGAGAGTTGTTCCTAAAATCTATTCTAAGAATTCACTCTTAGTCAACATATTCTCTTTTCATTGCATGCTTTATCTCTGCTGTCCAGGCTATTATGTTTTAAAACAATTTTCTGCTAACTTAAGTTACATCTATATAATGATAAACTGAGTAATTTCGAAGATGACTTCGATAGAATATTAAATTATGCTAAGACTGAAAGTCTAGGTAGAGTCCTTCACTCCCCAATACTCCAGAAGAACATGCCTGAGTTGCCCTGTCTCAGTGTGCCTGCTAGTCCCTAACAGTAGTTAGCAAAGGGAAAAATATTGTTCTTTGTAAAAACGTGAGGAATTCTTTCTATACATATTCCAGCATAAGCACAAGGTCTCAAGGCTTCTTAACTCTGTTACTACCTTTCATTTCTAGTACAGGAAAAAACTAAGCCACTATTTTCTTTCTGTTTCTCCTAGAAACAAATGAATCTTTTCATTTGCTCTTAACTTCTCAGTCACCCAGATGTATTTCAGCACTCTTTGCTACTTTCAACTTTTATCTGTCATATTTTATGCTATCCAAACAAGTTGTTGGAAGAAAAATAGCCAGGAATAAGAATTTGATAACTTCAAATATTTTACATAGAAATAAATGGCAATACCAACCTCTTTCATTTTTTCCAGTTCATTCTGCAGTGCCTGTTTTGCAGTTTCAACTTCTATAAGCTGCTGTCTTAATTTTTCGTTTTCATCTTCTGTTACAGTACGCTTTTCTTCCACATTCTCTAACTCATGATGAAGTCTCACTGATACATCTTTTGCAACCTAAATGTAGAGATATTTCAAAAGAAATGGAAAAAAAAAACCCACAATTACAAAAGAATCACTGCTGAAGTGCTTAGTGTCTAAGCAACAATTTACAAGTTAATTCTGGATGCTTCTATTGAAGTGATATGTAAAGAAACATGTAGACAATGACATATACAAATAGAATTACAAATTATTCAAAATTCAAGACAACCCTACAAAAAATTGAACATTCTTTCTATGGAATTTACTGGAAAGCACTGGAAACCAACACTTTCTTATGTTCTGTTAAATCAGCAATGAAAGAATATCTTCATTATTCCTGGATACAGTGCAGCCACTACCAGCTTATTCTTTTCAATGCAGTAAAGGATATGCCCCTCAAATACTTGACACCTGGAAGTCCCAGGTTAAAAGCACAGCCCAATTTCTCCAGGCCTACTGTACCTGGGCATTGTAAAGAACCACAAATGGGAAAAAACTTTATTTTCCAACCCTTCTGATTTCTCTAACCTTCATGGACAGCTAATCAAAATATATGCCATTTAGTTAATTTGCTACTGGTTAATTTAAAGAGTAAAGTATGAACAAAGATTTTTATTGACCTCATACTTATCTAAATTATGTGTGATATTTTTAAATTTAAATGAACACAAGCTAAATTAGGGGGTTTGGTGTTTTCTTTTTTAATTGTATTTTTACAGGAATAGAGTTAGAAAGAACGCAACAAGATCTAATTCCCTTTCTTTGTGTAAGACAATAAAAATTTTGGTATTTAAGCCATTTGCATTGTATTTTGTGAAACCAGTAGAAACTATAATCACACATTAAAGTATTTAAATATACACTAATCACTGCTGTAGTGATGACTTAGACTTATAATTTGAACAGGCTAATTTGATTTTTTTTTTTTTTTTAAGAACAGGAGGAAGTAAAATTAATCCTTCTTAGCATTTCTTAGGGAAACTTGGAGGGCTTTCACTGCAACAGTCCTTACGCTTACATGTCGAAGAACTCTTTTTGACATACTAAAACATTGGAAAAAAAAAAATTGCAAGCAAGCAGTCTAGAAGAATCCGATCTATCAGAATACAGCAGCAGCCAGTGAGTCAGCCTCCCCCGACAAGAAACTGTGTGAGTGCATTACTGATACAACACTGCAGTGTAGCTCAAGACCATTCAGTAACCTCCCCCACTGCACACATACTCAAGACACATAATGCCCAGCATTAGGAGGGAATGGAAAGGAATTTCAATGATAAGCAGGGTGAGCTGAGAATCACATCCTAAGGCTGCATCTTGACGTCTTTTTCCCACAGTCAGTATCAAGCTGCTCATCTGGTTGACCAAAGTAAACAGAAAATCACTGGGGACATTCTTAACGGCATCCTACCACAGTCTGCAGCTATACTCCATATCAGCAAATATAACAAAATAATTACTAAAAGTGATTTTACATCACAAAATTAGGTGGAGTGGCAGTTAAAGCAGATAGATAACACACAGCATTCTAGATCACCTGGAAATTTGAATTCACTTATGCAAGATGCATTTTAATACAGCTACATGAAAGACTGTACCTCTGAAGAACTAAGTCCCCTAATGTAATGTACTTGTAAAATGGAGAATGTTTTAGATAGAAATTCTTCAGAAGCAGACTTGAGAAGACTACAAAGAATGGTGCATGAGTTACAAGCATGGCTCTCAGGACCAAGATTTCAGTTTGGCAGATATAAGGCATTTGACAACCATCCCTACCCAAAGTAGAATACAATCATGACCTGTGTGAAGGCTTAGTGAAAACATTGTTCCTTTCTAAGCAGTTCGTTGTGTAATCATTAGGAAAGACATGGGAGAAGTCCTAATTGAAACGAGTCCTTCATTCAGCTTAAAATGTGGCCTTTGGATCTCCTGCAATGTCAGGTGAGCACCAAACTACAGGGTCAACTTCCCTCCCTTCCGGCTGCTTTCCCTCTGTATACAAAGTAGCATTGAGCCAACTCTTTGTTTCTTTAGCCAACACAGGAAGCTGGGATCACCCATTCAATTTGTAAGGATTCATGTTTAAATTTTGCCTACCAAAGTGTCTCAGCCATTCCCCTGAACACTATTTTGACTGTGCAAAATGTCCTTTGCTTTGATCAGAATTTCCACTTGACTCCTGAGAAAGAGGCATTAAAAAAAATAAAGATTTCCACCAGTTTTGTTCCTGACCAGGAAGACACTGGCTTGTCCAAGAGTCATGTAACAGCTAGTTACGGAACTGTTGTGGCCAAAACAGCAAACGTAGCTTTTGAATCTGCACAGAAAAAGAATATCAATACACACCAAAAAGGAAATTATTATTTTAAATGGTATCGGTAAGAAAATTACTGGAATGTGTTTAGGTCTGGTGTCTATGTTTTAGTAAGAATGATGATAAGCTGGAAATTTTTCAGAAAAGATGATCCAAGTCTGAATAACAGGGCTGGGAACAACAGACTCTCAATCCTTCACACTTATCAGAAATTAGTTCAGCAATTGTCTATTCATGTCATGTATTAAATTAGCATTTCTAGCTGCAGTCTACAGAATCCAACATGGGTAACTAGTACTCAGGAGGAGGATGGTCAGTGAACTGCAGTTTGCTACCCAGAGATCTGTGGTTCCTTGAGAAATGGTTGGGAGATCCTTCAATTGGAAAAGGTTCTGAAGTGTTGACTTGGGAACAGCCTTAACAAAATCTAGAGTGTGGAAGAAAAATTAAACAGCTTCCAACTAGTGCAACTGTTTCCCTCTAATTGGAGCAATCTAGAACAGAGATGATATTATTTACTGGTGTTAGTATTTAAACAAATGCTGAAACTTCTCAGCAATGGGCTGTGGTTCATTCAAATGTCATGGACTAAATACAGGTGATTAGACATGGAAATTTGATGGGCTGTGTCTACTGTTTCACATGGATGTGGCAAATCCTGGCTTTGCTGAAGGCCCACTGATGCCAGCAGAATCAGGTTTGAGGTTGCAACTGCAAGCATTCGGTTAACCGCCCTCTGTGATCTTCCCCAAAGAGGACATTGATCTCCTAAAATCCAGTGGGGCTGTTCAGTGAGGTTGGTTTAATTTTGCAGTGGGAGAATATGGCCTGTGTTCGACATAAAAGACCCAAACCTCTGGACTCCAACTGGGATTTAAGTCACTTTTTGCACAGTAACCTCACAAAACACGACTGGACTAAAGCTGCAAATAGTCTGTCTGTGAGGCCTCACTGCAGAGCTGCTTGCTGGAGATCTCCCATTACTAGTTAAGCTGCAACCCTACGTGCAGCACTGAATGCACAGTGTATGACAGAACGGATGATAACATGGGAGTCATCAGGCCTGAAGGGCAACGCGTGCCTCTACCTCCATCGCTCTGTCTCCCCAGTGCCTCTGACACCCGTACCTTGAGGTCCTGCTCCATGCTGCGCAGCAGCTCACCGTCGATCTCACCAGTCTGCGCATAGCGGAGCCTCTTGCGCTCGGCCTTGCGCAGCCGGTACTGGAGGATCCGGCAGTTCTTGTTGGCTCTCTCCAGCTCGTGGCGCATTTCTTGAAGCTGACAAGCGTCCTCCTCGAAGAAGCTGTCCCTCATTTCATCCATCTCAGTCCTCAGCTCATCTATCTCGTTCTGACACCGGGCCGAGAGGGGGTGGGGACACCAACAGGTGGGTCAGAAACAGAGGTCAACAAGGGAGGGGGAAGGCACCCAGACGGAGCTCAGAGACGGCCCTTCTCCCCACGGGGATCCGCCTAGCTCATTAAAAGCACCGCAACAAGAGAAGGAAGCGATGCTGCCCGCGCACGCCGCGCCGAGGCCATTTTCCCTCCGCCCCAAGGGCCTCCCGGGCGGCAGAGAACCCCTCCCGACACCCCCAGCCCCATCTCGGGCTCCCCACCGCGTCCCCTCACCTTGAGGCTCTCGTTCTCCTCCCGTAGCTTCTCCATCTCCTCCTGCATCTCGTCCTGCGGCTGCGGGCTCAGTGAACCCTCGGGTGTGCCGCTCCTGCAGCTCGCCTCGCCCTGCCGCAGCCCCTCGGCCCCGGCCGCCGCCATGGCAGAGGGCGAGGAGGCGGGGGCTGCCGAGGGAGGCTCGGCCGAGGCGGCGGCCGCGGAGGAGGCGACGGCGGCGGCAGCAGCACCGGCGCTGTGGTTGTTGCCCTTGGTTTGCATCTGAGCGGCCGCCGCCAGCCCCTTCCTGAGGTGGAACTGGATGAGCTCACTCTGCAGGCATCCCTCCTTCCAGTACCCGCCGCCGCCGCCGCCCGTCGCCCCGCGGCCCTTCCCCGCGACCGCGGAAGATGGAGGCGCGGGGGCCGCCTCCCCCGCGCCCTTCGGCGGAGCCCGCCCCGCTTTCCCCCGCCACTGCCTGGGCGGCGGCGCCACCGCCCCCTCGCGCTCCCCCGCGCCGCTTCCCGCAGGGGGCGCCTCCTCGGCGGGCTCTTCGGCCGCGGCCCTCCCGCCGGCGGCGAGCGGCGCTTCAGCACCGGCGCCGGGATGGACAGCTCCCGGCGACGCCGCACTCCGCGGCTGTTTCTCGGCGGCGCGGCCGCGAGCGGCCCTGGCGGACTGGCCCGGCGGCGGCCGCGCGGCCCCGGTCTTCAGGGCGGAGGCGGCGGCGGCGGGCGGGGCGCGGGAGGTGGCGGCGGCGGCGGCTGCGGGGGGCGGCGGCCGCGCGGCGGCGTCGCGGGCTCTGGCCGGGGAGGAGGCTCGCTGCTGCTTCCTGCCGCTGCTGCCCTCGGGATGGAGGCGAGGCTCGGCGGCGGCGCCCCCTGCGGGCGGTTGGCTCATGGCGGCGGCTATCGACGGAAGGTGGCCATCCCTCGAGGCGTCCTCCGCGCTGCCGGCTGGGGAGGAGAAGCGGAGAAGACGATCGGGCGAGTGGGGACGCGGTGGCGGCGAGCAGAAGCTGCCCAGCAACCAGCCCGCCTCGTCCGGCGTGCTGCCAGTCGGCCCCACGGGCGTAGCGGGGACTGAGGCTGAAGGCCGCAACGTGGGTCCGAGGAGCTCCAAAGGGCTGGGACTGAGAGCTGTTCCCACTCCTCTTTCACCGATTGCTGTTTTCCTCCCCTGATGCCAAACCTATCCCTATAGTGCTGCCAATAACACAGCTGTATTTCAATCCACACACAGCCCTTTCCTCATCCTCATCTTCACTGCCTATCGTGGTACCAGCCCAGGTTGCTGCTGCACACGCCTGCCTGCCTGAAGTCTCCTGCAGGCACCTGTCAGTGGGCCAGGTTGCTTCACAAACGGCTGCAGGTGATAGTGGCAGCTCACTGTTCTTTGGCCTTGGCAGGAGCTCTGCCAGGACAAGGCCAGACCTCCAGAGCACACCAACCAAGACTCCTGGAGGAAAAGAGTCCCTGAAACAACTTTTATGCCCATCTGAGTTTGATACTGGTTATACTGAAACAGGAGTGAGGCATAATCACTCCAGCAGATTTTCAAAGCAGCCCAATAGCAGTCATTACACAGCATTCACATGAATGTGCAAGGATGGCAGTTTTGCCACACAGCAACTGAACCAGGGTTTTCATGATCACAACAGATGATCAAAATAGGCTGCAAAGACATTCCTTAATGCACTCTGAAAATATTAGCTGTGATACATCAACTGTTTTTACATAGCCTTTGTTCAACTGCCCTTAAAGGGAAAACACAGGCCAAAGTAGAAGTGACAGCATTCCTAACACAGCCTAATGATCCCACCTAGACCACTGCAGGGTAAGGTACAAAGAAATCAAACCAGGCAAAGTCAGAATAGACCTTATGCTGCACCCTGACAATTCCTTTGCTCTCTGGAACACACCAGGCACCAACTCCACTCTGTGCTCTGGGGCAGGGGCTCAGAGATTTCTGCCAAGTGCACTGTCATTATCTCTCTCATTTTCACCAGCATGCTTAAAACTAACTCTCTCTCTCCCACACACACACAAAATAATAATAATAATAATAATAATAATAATAATAATAATAATAATAATAATAATAATAATAATAATAAATATCTTTTAAAAGATAAAAATTGGCAGAATCTTCACAGGCATTAAATAGTAAAGAGATAGAATGGGAGTGTAAACCTACCAACAGTCATGCATGCCCAATGCCGTACAAAAGGTTTACTTTGTTTCTCTATTATTCGTCATAATTGCTGCTGTTCAGAGCTGTACAGGTACCAAATATCACTCTTGAAAACCAGACACCCCTTCAGAAGCTGAAAGAAGTTGGGACAGTACTTGGCTTAGATCCCCTATTCTCCTGAGCACTCTGACTCTACCTTACCATCTTCATGCCTCCAGTTTCAGGGCTGGCTACTGCTTACAGTTTGCTTGGCTGTGGCTTGGGGTTTTTCTGTTTTTATGGGATTTTTTCTTTTTTTTTCTTTGTTAATAGCACAGTGAAGACCCCGTTTGAGCCCAAGTTCAAATATCGTATCCCAAAGAAAAGCCCCTCCATATAATCTTCCCTCCAAGGCAAATCCACGTGGCGATACGACACTGCATCTCCATAGGTTTCCCCGTCGGGAACAAGAAAAATGCCCGACCAAAGGCAGCAACAAAAGGCTCCACCCGCAGCGTCGGGATGCGGCGGAGGGCATCCCTCTGCCCTCTACTCCGCGGGGCTCCGGACCCCGCCCGCCTTTTGTCCCGATTCTAGGGGCGGGGGAGGCTTTTCTCAGCTCCCCACTTCTACTCGGAGGTTTTGTTGGACCAGAACCTTGAGTAACATCCCCCATCCCTTTCTCCATTATCTTTTTTTTTTAATATTTTTTTTCTTTTTCAAAGAAAAGAAAGAAAGAGAGACTCGGGCCTCCGGCAGCCGCATTACTCACCGTCGCTCTGTCCGCTGCCCGGCTGGTGAAACGCGTGCACGGAGAGGCGGGCACCGCACCCGGGGCACCCGGCGCTGCTAGAGCCTCTCAGGAAAATGAAGCAATATTCATGAGCTGACCTCACCGGGCCTGGGAGACGGAACGGGGGGAGGGAGGAGAGCGGCAAAGGGAAGAGAAAAGAAAAGATTAAACGGCGAGAACCCCGCCCAGGCCTGGAGACGAGTTGCGTCTCCTTATCTGTCTGCACATGGTGGAACTGGATTACAGCGCAAATGGGGGAAGGAGCAGGCTGCTTGCGGGAGATGTGCCCGCTTTCTCTTCCCAGTCCATCCCGGTAATCGATTCCGATTTATTATTTAGTGTCCCCGACGGGGAGCTGGCTTGGAGCAGCCGGGGATGCCAGGCGCCTCCTGCACCGGGGTAATAGGATTTCCCTTTGTTCGCTTCCTGTATTTGCGCTTGGAGGGCAGCGATCTCTCCTCGCGTCCTGTTGACAAAAGCCTGGGGAAAGCTGGGAAAGGGAGAAACAAAAGCAAACCGCGGTGGTCTATTGAAGATAATCTCCCGGTGCTGTCTATTCGCATGACTGTAGTACTAACGCACCGCTGGCCGCACGCTGCGGGCAAAACTCAACCACGTACATCTGTTTCACCTAAAGGAGCTACACCTGTTCGTCTTGCCACCAGGTGAATTTGCTTTAGATGGCCCGACACACTTCGTACCTACAGCCTCTCCCCATTACAAAGAGAAGCCAAAAAAAAAAAAAAGGCTTTCCTTCCTCTCCTCGCCTTTTCGCTGGAGGAGGGTAACATTGGTGGCCGAGGGTTTTCCCCGTCCGACTGCCTCGTGTGGGAGTGCCCAGTCCCAGCCCTGAGTAGCATTCTTGGCTGGTCTCTGAGCTGTAAGTTCCTCCCCTTTAAATGAGGATTTCCAACCTATAGATGTAGATATGCATATAAATACATGCATATGTCTATACACACAGTATATATACAAAAATATTATATACATATAACATGCAAGTCTATGCATACACACTTGTATATGCATATACACATGTACAGCACACAAAGTAGTATCTGTATATATACATGGTATGTACATTTGTATATACCATTTGTATATACTATTTGTATATATATCTGTGTACTTAACTGTAAGGTCTGTATTCTGGAGTTGGGGGAGTGCAATCTGAAGGGAGACAGCTGCATTCTTTCTAGCTGTCTCTGCCCCACCTCTTCTAAAAAAAAAAAAAAAAGATCAACCACATCTGAAATATCACATCCTGAGATGTGGAAAGATGTTCTCCCTATCTTCATGGCCTTGAGCCTAAGGACTATATGATGTGGACTCACATAGATGTGATGAGCTGAGGACAATAAAAAATTAGATGTGAAAGATCTGTGCTGAAGAATATGTCTCCTTTGAAACCCATCATGAATATTGATTGCAATTATATGCACTAAGCAACCAACATAATTGGTTAAAACACGAGGAAAAGTACAGAACAGTTCTCTAATCAGAGCTGAGAAATGCAACATGTTGTAGTTTTCCAGATAAATTTTCTGATAGATCCTGAAAGAACTGGGATTACATGCAGTAAAGCAATATAAATAGTAGGTGGCCCCACTGTATTTTATTGGTCTGTTACTCCCAAAATTTCATAGCATTGCACCTGACATGGCTTAGTGGGCACACACGTGACAGATAGATGGTTGAGCTAGCTGCTCTCAGTGGTCTTTTCCAACCTTCATGATATGAGTAGGCATGGCATTGATGGGTTGGTAGTTAGACTAGATAATCTCAGTGGTCCTTTTCAACCTTCATGATTGTATGATTCTATGAAAGTCTGGACTCCTTGTCTCCATAAATATACAGAATAATGGTGATGAAGGCATCACAACAACACAACACTTTATCTATACAACAACTGCCCTAAGGAAGTGCACAGCAGTTCCTACCATTATGAAAAGAGCAGCAGATAACATCCTTTCTGCCATCTCCATATTGTCTGGATAGACTTCTCTGTGCTTAAATAAAAATGGGATGCAATAGCTCCCATGATGCTTACAGTAAGTTTTACTGCACAGTTGAAAAATGCAGATCCTAAGTATCCTAATTGTCTTATATAAGAGTCCATACTGAAAGCAAGTAATCAAATAATCTCCCTGTTCTGTGTTGTCTACTTTTAAATACATAGTACTACTATTTGTGGAAGAAAAACATGCCCATTTCTAGATTTTATTCGGGATTGTTGTCTTTATTCTCAACATTTCTATTTTGGCTGAAACCTCACTGCTGACTCAGTAAAAATTTACATGGGTAGAGACATACTTCTCATATCATTCATGTTTTGGAAGGGCATAAATGTACACAGGTCTACACAACACACCTTTTGCTGATAAAGGTTGCATTTCCAATAGGAAGTTGATTCCTAAATCTCCGTGGGTGTTCTGTACAAGCAGCAGACTGATTTTCTAGAATAGATGCAACATGAAGAGACTGACACAGAGATGTCAGTATAGTGAAAGTTTGATACATACTTAGGTTTTTTTTTCTGCAGGTTCTTTAAACACCTGTTGATGGAAATAATATCTGGGCTAGTATTAGACATGGATGCCGGTGGCCCTACCTGCGGCAGCAAGGTTGGAACCTGACGATCCTTGAGGTCTCTTCCAACCCAAGCCACTCTGCGAGTCTATGATTCAATAAATACACAGAAAGAAAGAAAGATCTTAACTTACACAGAAAACAATCATGGTGAAAACAGAAAAAGAAACAGACAGGGAAGGAATGTTCACCTGCATCTGAAGATCTAGGTTTATAGGAAAGACTTCACAGAGGGGGGATCTCCAAAAAGAGAGCCTTCCCCACTGACAGTCAGCCCTTAAATGGGGTCTAAGAGGAGTGCAGCTCGGCTCCACCCCTTCTGATCACACAGGTGAATTGCCTTCACCTGTGCTTCCAGGGCTGACTCAGTCCTTTCCTCAGGTGATCAATCAGTGATTCAGGCCATGACTCAACATTTCCCCTACACTACTTCAGAACAATTCCATGATACAGATAGATTTTGAATTCCTAGAGAAGCTCTGGTCCTCCATCTCAGTTGATGAAAGGTAGTGAGGGGAAGCCAGGTTATGATGTGGTCTGTGCAAGGAATGCTTTCAGGCTGGAAGAGGAGACTTTGGGCTGGGAGAGGGATGACTGAGAAGAAATATGAAACAGATCCTCGCAGACTTAATAAAGTAAATAAAATTGTTTGTTTTGTGTTGTTTATGGTTATTCACAGTCTCCCTCCATGAAAGACAAACATGTAAATATGAATGAAAATAACAAGTAAGTGATGCGTTCTGAAAAATAGCAAGGAAGACAGTTCTTGTGGTTAAGCTCTACAGTTCTCTGCCATGAGGTGCTCTGAATTTAAGGGCCCACATGATTTTAAAAAGTGGTTGAAAAATTCATGGAAGGAAAATCAACTGAAGGTAATAAAGACAAACCACATAACTTTAAAACAAAACAACAACAACAAAAAACCTAGCCCTCTGCACTACCAAGTTTTTCATCTGGAAAATAGCTGGGGAGAGATATTATTATGTGACTTTGTGTTATCTTCTAGCATCCACTATTGTTCAGAGTCAGACACCTATCACTGAGCTAAACAAGTCTTTAATCTGTTTCTGAATGAAAATTCTTATGCTCTTTCACTAATTTTGCTTCTTTCTTTTCATCCGTTTTGCCATTTCTTTCTTGCTCTTCCTCCTTAGATTTCTTGTCATGCACAGCATTGATAACCTGCTGCACCCTGATTGAATGTGTACGTGAATGTTTAGCACTTTTTCTTTAATAGACAAAAATATTTTGACCCAAATTAAAATTGTTAATGCCATATTTTCTTGTCTTCATTAGTGCTTGTTCACAAAGATATTTTTTCATCCAGCTTGCAATTACATTTAGTGGTATGTAGTAGTTCAGAAGGCACTCGACTCAAAGAGGGGCAGAAAGAGAAAGGAGATGGGGAATTTCTCCTCCAAGCAGAGTTTTGGTTTAAGTCATGTAAGTTTTTTTTCTAAGGTGAAGTTGAGAACTGCTTATATAACACCCTAAAAGTATGCTCCAAGCATGGCCTCCTAGCCTGCAGTAAAAAAATACTTTACTAGCAGATTTCAGAAGCTTTTCCAGGAAGAGCTCTGGTTGCTGTACTTTGGCCACATTGCTTACTCACCTCTCCTGCCCTCTTGGGAATACACTGCGTTATGCTGGGGCAGAAAGAGGAGGCACTGGAGCATGCTGTGCTAACTGCATGGTGCTGGCACCACCCCAGTTGGCGCAGGCTCCATCTTATCTCCCTGCTCAAGGAGATGTGCTGGACACCACTAATTATACATCAGGCCACGGTCCTTTTATTCTGTCCTTGGAAAATTGAAAGTCTGAGATTTCAATTCACCGATTTCTAATATGTTCACTAAATGGCACTAATGTCTATTGTACCAAGCAGTAATTTAGGGATAAACAATTAATACTTTATCATGGTCCTTCTTTCCTATTTATCTGGAAATGGAAAAGCTTTTTAGATATACTGCATGTGCAGCACCAAATTGAGATAATTGAAAAATAATAAAATAAGCAGCAGAAAATAGTTCTTTCAAGCATGCTTATTTTGGCGTATGCATTTGACCAGATCTTTATATAACAGTGATCCTGGTTGTCACATCTCTCTCCTTCTTCCTCCTCCTCATGCTCTGTAGCAGCTGCTCCTCAGCCAGAGGCTGCTATAGCACAGCACATTGAAGTTGCACCTTCTGTTCATCTGCATCCTCATACGCACAAACGCTACCAAGGGCACAGAGATGCTATCTGCACCCATCCTGAAATTCATACCAGTAAGAGAAGGAGGTAGTGCCACTTTCTGCCACTATGAAGAGGAAACTATTAGATATGACCCACTGGTATCAGTCTCTATATTCATAATGGATCTCTCATATCCCAGCTCAGGAAGGCTGCTTGCCATGTGCTGTGTCACAGAGGTCTTAGTCTGCCCAGCTCATGAAATTCCAACAGCTGGGTGAATTCTTAGTATAATGATGGATTACATGATACAAAAATTGAAATTAATATTAGAGGAATCTTTGGCTCTGATGGTAGAGAATAAAACTAGATGAAGTTAGGTCTGTTGATTATTAGGACTCAATTTATTGTAGTGATAAAATGAAGGCTTTCTTCTATTTTTGCTGTCCAGTATTTCATTCTGGCTCTCTGAAGGCTGAAATTTTATGTTCCTGCCTTTTGTTCCTAGAGAAATCAATTGTACTTAATGTTCAGAAATGAGCATGCCCTGA